ACAGGGACAGGGGCAGGGACAGACAAACAGAGACAGTGACCAGGACAAAAGCAGAAACAGGGCCAGGCAAAATCAGAAACATGGATAAAATCAGCCCCATGACACTCAAGGGACCATGGGCCAGACAAGACCAGAAACAGAGGGAGGCAGGCAGAGATGGGAACTGAAACCAGATTGGAGCTCTAATTCTCTCACAGGTGCGTTTCCGGGCCGCCCACCACTCACTCACCGCTGGTGGGATGCAATGAAGGGCGCTTCGTTGGGCTGGCAGGGAGGGGCCATGCTGTGGGGGCCGATTTTGAGGGGCTGTAGGGGGCTGTGAGGGGATTTGGGGGGTAGGGGGGCCTTAGGGGGGGTTTTCCCCGTTACTCGTTATAATCACTATTTTTATCTCCCGCTTTCTGTATAATCATTCCATTTATTGTTCGCTTTCTGCTTTCTAGTCCCATGGCACTCTCTTGTACTCTTGTTATTACTGTGCTGTTCTAATATTTCTGGTTCCCTTTGTAGTTGTTACCGCTCTTGTCTTGTAGTAGATTGTGCATTGTAAACTTTTATTCAAAGGAATCTTCCATCCCTTGCTGCCGTTTTATTTCATTCATTCCCTCCTTTGTCCTCCCTGCCTTCCAGAACCCATGTGCTACACCTGGACCACTCACCAGACCCTCCAGTTTTTGGCTGCATCGTTCTGTGTTCCCTCTGCTCTGCTTTGTACTGATTATGACCATTCATAACACTTACAACTTTCATCTTAAAACCATAAATTTATTCATATCATGCTTACAGGACGACCAAGCCCATCCCCATACACGCCACGCAATATTATATCAGCTAGGAGCTCCACCCACATATCTGTCGGACCAGGCGTGCAATAGTGAAGGCAGTCTAGGATCCCCCTTTCTTCCACAAAGCCTTTGTGCGAGTCCGGTCTCAACGCTGTAGCAGTATCTACATCCATGTACACTGCTCCCACGTCATGCATCATGCCCCGAACCATCTTGTTCTGCCGAGTGAACATGTCCCAATGGAATGGCAGAATTTCTGGATTTTGGCGCTTCTTGATGGGCCCAATGTAGGTGGTGCAGTTGGCATGCCCAGGTGGGGTGTTCCTCCAGATGATCAGCGCATCGGGCAGCTTCTTGCGAAGAAATTCCAAAGCAGCCGGAACACTCCGCTCGAAATCCTTCCCTCCAATGAAATGCGCGCCTCGATTCACTACCACCACATCAGCATCCTTCAACCCAGAATACAAATGCCATGGAATGTGGTCAAACTTGGCTTCTCCAGGCGAAGTGAACCACAGGTGGTCATTCCTCACGAATTGAACCTTGAGGCCGGGACAAACACTCTCATTGAACGTGTACACTCGGCAGTAGGCATGCCTTGGGGGCTCCACCAGCCAATCATAGCACTCCTGGGGAATCGTTTCATTGACAGCCCACACGGCAGGTTTGGGAATGTGTCTGAGAAGACCGTTGAGGAAGCTGACAACCATCTGGTGCGCCAACGAATCCCCCAGAAACAGCACGTTCAGCCCGCCTTTCCGCCCCTCCGCCTTCCTGCAAAACCTATCTCCATCAAACTGCCTAAGGGGACCGATCGGGCACTTCCCAGGCGGCGTTCTCCACTCGTATTTGAGCGACTCGCGCACGCTCCACCCGCCCGACGCGCCGCCCTCCATCACATACTTGTCGGCTTTTTTCGTCACGAGTCCCCCGGTTGTCTCCTGGTGCCGGTGGTCGCACAGGTTCATGGTACCGAGGTACTCCCAAGGGAGGATACGCGGCGTCGCGTTGTACGCCCACCGCCCGCGCTGACTCACGCACCGCAGCCAGCGCCGGAAGCGGGCGGCGGACTGCAGAGATTGGATCTGCGTGCCGGGAATGAGCGGCTTCTTACTGGTGGATGCCTGTGCCAGCTGTGCGGCTCTCATTCGCCGGTCGGCGGCTGTCAGAACTGCCTCCTCGACCACTTTCTCATCGGCCGTTAGTGCCTTGCCCACCACTCGAGCCAGAAACATTGCTGCTGCCTCCACTGCCCCGCTCCTCCACTCCACCACACCCTTTCCTGCACCCTCCTCTGCCCCTTTTCCTTTCCCCCCACCTGCTGCTCCTTCCACGAAGCTTCCTCGGATCACGTGGTGGTGAATCTGGCAAGCGGCTGCCAGGCTGGCGACCGAGTCAGCGATGACCGCGTCCACCTCAGCGGGCGGCGGGCGGAGCTCCAGCAGGGCGGCGCGGGGCGGCAGGAACGCGAGGTTGACGAGGAACGGGCTCGTGACGCTCACAAGCAGCGCCGCCCGCGGGAACAGATCGCGCGCATCATCCCTCTGGAACCGCCCCACCAGCCTCACATGCTCCGCGCCAAACTTCCCCTTCAGCCCCGCCACTACCCCTGCAAAGCCCTTCACCTGCACTGCTGCTGGTGGCTCCAGCACAATCACCTCCTTCACCCCACTTGTCTCCCAGGGGGGTATGGCGGCGGGGGGGGAGCGGGTCTTGGGGGAGGTGGGGGGGAGGCGCTCGGACCAGTCAGGGTTGAGGAGGGGCAGACCGCGGGGTTGCAGGAAGTGGGAGGAACGGAGCTTGGACCAGAGGGAGGGGCTGGGCTGCTGACAGTGCTGGAATGTGGGCTGCACAGCACAGGGGGGAAAGGGGTAGGGGAAAGAGGAAGGGCAGAGGGGTTTCACGAATTGGGAGGAGTGGACTTTGGTCCACAAGGAGGCGCGGGGGTCCTCCTGGCGGTGCTGGCGGTATCGGCGGTCGGTATTGGCGGTGCTGGCGGTGATGGCAGGTGAGCTGTGGGGGAGGGGGGGAAGGGATGCAAAATCAGGGGGAAGAGGAGGGGCCGAGGGGTTGAGACAAGTGTGAGGAGGGAATTTGGTCAAGAGTGAGGGGTGGGGGTGCTGGCGGTTCTGGAGAGTGGGTTGCAAGGGGGGGGACTGGTGGGGGACAATGGGGAGACGTCTCAATTGAGAAGCCTCAGAAAGAGGGGCTGGTTCGCTGGTACTGCTGGGAGGTGGGCGTGGGATGGGGGATGAGAAGCTTTTTAGAGCATGTTTGTTCCTGGCACCTCAGAAGTAAGAGTTTGGTCCACAGGGAGGGGCTGGCGTGCTGGCAATGCAGGAAAGTGGGTTAAGTGGCGGGGGTGGGGAAAGGAGGGTTAACCGGCGGAAGTGGGGAAAGGAGGCTTAACCGGCGGGAGTGGGGAAAGGAGGGTCAACAGGCGGGACTGGGGGAAGGTGGGTTAAAAGGCGGGAGTGGGGGAAGGTGGGTTAACAGGCGGGAGTGGGGGAAGGGCGAATATTCGCATGATGATGCTCCTGGGATGTTAGAACTGAATGGAATTGGGGTGGCAGAGGGGAGGCGGGAGGAAGAGGGGAGGAGGGGTGTGAAATGAGGGAAGACACGTTTGGATGGGTGAGTGGGCCGTATGAGCACATGCTTGCAGGTGTGGAGTGGGACGCACCTGGATGTGTTTGCATGAAGGGGAAAAACTGCATGCGGCTGCGGGTGTGGTGTGGTGTGGTGTGGTGTGGTGTGGTGTGGTGTGGAGTGGTGTGGTGTGGTGTGGTGTGGTGTGGTGTGGTGTGGTGTGGTGTGGTGTGGCGTGGCGTGGCGTGGCATGGTGTGGTGTGGTGTGGTGTGGTGTGGTGTGGTGTGGTGTGGTGTGGTGTGGTGTGGTGTGGTGTGGTGTGGAGGGGTGTGGTGTGGTGTGGAGGGGTGTGGGGGATGATGGATGGACGCACCTGGATGAGTGTGGGCATGATGGACGCACCTGGATGAGTGTTCGTACGAAGAGGAGGCGAGAGGCATCTCCAAAGGAGAGCATGCGACCCATGGTGATGCCCACCACTCGAGGCAGCTGCGAGGGACAGCATCACGTGCCACGTCACATGCCACGTCACATGCCACGTCACATGCCACGTCACATGCCACGTCACGTGCCCCATGATATGCCAACCATGTTGCAGAGATGAGCACACCATGCCACGTAATGCCATCACAGCCCATGCAAGTCAATGCATTCATTCCATGGAAACGAGAAAAGAGAAAAGAGAGCCGCTTCAAAAGAGCAATGTGGGCTCCTGGTTCTCAAAAGAGCAATGTGGGCTCCTGGTGCTCTCATGGGTTGGCTGTTCAGCCGTGGGGTTTAACACTTGGCAATGGAATCGGTAGCACCACACCCCCAGCACACGCACCTTTTGCTGCGCATGCCAAGTGCACAACAGCATACGCACACTCTTATGGGGTAACCAGCTCGGCCATGGGGTAACCAGCTCGGCCATGGGGTAACCAGCTCGGCCATGGGGTAACCAGCTCGGCCATGGGGTAACCAGCTCGGCCATGGGGTAACCAGCTCGGCCATGGGGTAACCAGCTCGGCCATGGGGTAACCAGCTCGGCCATGGGGTAACCAGCTCGGCCATGGGGTAACCAGCTCGGCCATGGGGTAACCAGCTCGGCCATGGGGTAACCAGCTCGGCCATGGGGTAACCAGCTCGGCCATGGGGTAACCAGCTCGGCCATGGGGTAACCAGCTCGGCCATGGGGTAACCAGCTCGGCCATGGGGTAACCAGCTCGGCCATGGAATTGCTATCCCCGCCAAACCAGCATACGCCCTTCTTACAGTTCATGACAAGTGCTGGCTTGCAAAATCTTTGGGCACGCGCGAAGCAGGAGCGGCACGAACAGTCCGATTGAACACAGCTTGTTTGCTGGTTTGTTATGCTTTTGTATTTTATGTGAACTTTTCCTGGGCATGACGAGTGCCTGACGTCTTGCTTGCCATGAAGTGACCGAGTAGACATCATTCTTTTGTTCTTGTTATTTTTCTTTTCCAAGAGAGTGATACACACCTTTTCTAAGGTGCTGACGAGTGATGTCTTGCCCTGCTTTTTAAGCAAGCGGGAGAGCAGCAGGAGTAGCCCAAATGCACCCCCCACACACGACTCCACTCTCCCTTTTTTATTTTATTATATTCTTTTTATGCGAGCGCACCTTCTTGCCGCGCATGACGAGGGCGGGCTTGCCGTGCTTCTTGAGCACGCGGGAGAGCGGCAGGAAGAGCGGCACGAGCTCGAGGATCTCGTGGAACGGCAGCCGCGCGCCGGGCGTGCCGCCGATCACCAGCAGGTTCACCAGCGAGTTGTAGGAGGACACTCGCGTGCCTGGCTCGTAGTGGAACTGTGTGACGGGGAGGAAGGGAGGGGCGAGCATGGGGGGTTTTGGGAAGGGGTGCGGCATGCCTCAGATGACCAGCAGGTTGACAACGTGTCTTGGGGGCACGACCCGCCCCCTCCTACCATTCCCTAGTGAACCTGCTGGTGCTTAAGAAGGGGTGGGGCGTGCCTGGCTGTGTGAAGGGGAGGAAGGGAGGGGAGAGCATGTGGGGGGTATTGTGATGGGGTGGGGCGGGGCGTGCCCCCGATGACCAGCAGGTTGAGAGGCAAGACGCGAGATGACCAGGCTCGCGGTGAAACTGCAGGAGAGCCGTAGTTCACCCAATTACCGAATCGGACACCCCTTGTGCAACGCAAGCACCCAATCGGACACCCCTTCCCGCGTCCAACCCCCGCCCCTTCCCCCTTCCCCTTTTCAACCGCCCCGCCCCTTTCCCCCTTCCCCCTTTCAACCGCCCCGCCCCTCCCTGCCCCTTCCAACGACCCGGCCCTTCCTTCCCATCCACTCTCTCGCCCTTCCACCTCCAACCCCAACCCCTCCCCTTCCCTCACATTCCCCCCTTTTTCCATCCTACCCCTTTCCCTAAAACCCCATCATCCTGCCAATCCCTTCCTTTCGACCCCCTCTCCCTCCTTCCTCCCCCACCCACCCACACGCACCTTGTCTTCGGCGTAGCAGCCGTTGGGGTTGAAGACGTGAGTGGCGTTGAAAACCTGCCCCTTGTTGTTCACATACACGTCGTGCAGCGCAAACACCCGCCCCGACCACACCATTACCGGCGCTGCACCCCTTTTTCCCGCGTTTCCGCCTCTCCCTTCCTCCCCTTCCACCTCTTCGCCCTCTGCTCCCTCTTCTCCGCCTTCCTCCTCCTCTTCCTCTTCCTCCTCCTCCACTCCCCCATACTCGTCGTTTTCTTCCGGCTTGGTCGTGGTGCCGTTCGCCGCGAGTCGCGGGGCGAGGTCCATGTAATCCGGATTTCGACAGACGGAGATATCTTCGAAGCCCGCGTCTTCGCACATCCGGAATTCCGGGCAAAGGAGGGCCTTGGCGCACGTCGCAAACTTTCGCCGGCTGGTTACCGCTTTAAGCGCTCGCCGATCCTTTCGCGACAGAATGCTTGGAGGGGGATTAGGGTTGAGATCGACCACTTCAAGGCGCTTGCTGTCGATCGCTTTTCGCAAATCACCCGCTGATGCGTAATGCGTGCCTCGTTTTCGCCGAGATGCACCTGGTAACCAGTCGCTAGCGGAAAGCAGCTTTCGCCGGCTGCTGTCGTTGAGTCTTTCAGCCGTGCGAAGAACGGGAGGGGTGAACACAAGCGACCCATTACTCGTCCTCTTGCCTGCGACATCCTTGCTCGTTTCTCGCAACAACTGATCATCGTGAATTGTAGTATCACTGCTTTGGACCTCCGCGGTAATCGTGTCTCGCAAAAAAGGACCATCGTAATCGGTAGAATAACTACCGGTCAGGACCGAGAAACTCGGAGTGCTGCCTCCATAGCCGCGTGTCGGGAATAAACACACGAACAATGTCAGCATGAAACCGCTACGTTTAAAATTTTGAAGCGAACCGTAGCGCGTACAGCGCCGTACGGCACGATGCGACTGATCTGAACGAGTCTCCATTCGCCGGGATGTCATGTCAGCAGCTACCGTCATCGACCTTGCGTCTTTCTATTCTCGCAAGAGGCATTTCTGCCTCGAGTTTCCCTCCCGACATCGAACGGTTGGAGCGGTTAGTACAACGTCAGCCCGGCTAGTACTGAGCGGAAGGTTGGAGCTGACTCGCCGTCCATGAGCTCATGACCTAGCGAGGTCAAGGACGCAGGCGTGACGGGCAAATGTGTGGAGAAGAGAATGTACTGCAGCGTGTCATCAACCTGGCCTCGTGTCCGTATACGGAGCGACTGGGAAGCTAATACGGCTCAACCACCTAGTGCGTTAGGAGGAAACAGATGAAGGCAGACCACTTGACCAAGTGAGCTGTGAGGGGCTAGGATGAGCCGGCTTGATCAGGGTGATGGTGAGCAGGTTGGGCAAGGGAGTTGGGGCGCGTGTGATCTTAGGTCTTTTGTCAAAGTTCGAACTCAAACCGCTTTGCACCGTGGCAAGAAATTTCTCGATTGTATCCTACCGTGTGGAAACTTTCTAGAAGTTCAAACTTTGGGAAGTTCGAAAAAAGTTCACACTTGCCCTAGGGCTTGAAACATTTTTCCGAACACGCGGTACGGATGGCGTGCGAATAAGGTATCCCGCTCGCGGTCAAGGCCGTTTTATCCCGTTATCGAATTGGAGAGCCATGCGAGCTTCGACAAAATTTTCGTTTGCCGTCCGGACCGTTGGTCCGGAAACAAATTACACGCCCTTAGGGCGCGTGTGATAAGTTCGAACTTCCCAGAGTTCGAACTTCTAGAAAGGTTCTACACGGTAGGATACAATTAAGAGGTTTTCTGCCACGGTGCAATGTGATTTGTGTTCAAACTTATTCCGCGTCTTTTGCAGATTGTATGCAAAACTCAGAGTTGATAGTTGAAATCTGTAAGGAAAATTCCTTTTCCTTACTTCGCGTCCCTGCTCAGCGCGTACAGCACTGTTCCCGCCAACAGCACCCAACAGTAATCCGTTACCACTCGCGACACTCGCCTCGGTACTGTTCCCGCCACTGTTTACGATGCGACCCAACCTCACGGCTCGGTTGGTAACCCGCGCTCCGGACCTCCGCCTCGACAATTCCCAACCTCGGCGCTAGGCCCGTCGCGCACCCCATTTTCACACATTACCGTTACCACTGTAGTTTCGCTATATAATCTTCGCTCATGCCTTCGCTCATTGTACTCTTGCTTCGATAGTGCAATCTTCGTTCGCTCACTCAATTGCACTCGTAACACTTGGTATTCAGAGCCTACGATCTCTTCTCGGACCGCATCCACACCTTCGCTTCCCCACTATCTCAATTTTTGGGGGGGGTAGACGTCTCTCAGCGACACAGCACCGCCGCTCGTAGTGCTCTCTCGTAAGCACGCACGGCCACGACAGAGGCTCTCGCTGAGCTCGCCCGACACCCCCGCCATGGCCGAATTCAATCTCGCGACTCTGACGCAGGAGCAGCTCGACCGCCTGGTGCGCCAAGTTGAAGAATCGGCGCTCGAAATCGCGACGCTCACGGCGGAACGCGACTCCGCGCGTCAGCAAGCCACGGCGAGCAACCCAGCACCTCAAAATGCATCTGCACCATCGGAGGAGCCGATCATCATTTCGTCTGGCACACCAACACAGCACGACAGCGTGGGACAGCGCTCAGGAGCAGCCAGTGATAGCGCCGCCCAACCAATGCCTGGCATGGGGAGAAACCGGGCCGCGCCAAGCTCTCAGGAGCCTCGCGAAGCCCGTCGGCACGTGGAGTTTGCGGCAACAAGCGCCGATCAGGCAATCATGGCGCCAATGCCACTCAAGCCGCAGCGTCCGCCCTGTTTCGACCCGAGCCAGCGTGGGGGTCCGACGGTTCAATCGTGGATCTTCACGATGAACGTCTTCTTCGACGCGAATTACGTCGAGTCGGACGCAGCGAAGATCCGATACGCCGTTTCGCTGCTGAGGGGCCCCGCTATGGACTGGTGGCGAGTCATCGTGACGTCGCCACGCGCCTACGAGCCACCGTCGCAAGAGGAAGGGCCCGCGGGTCCAGCAGTCACCTGGAGTTCGTTCTGCGAAACCGCCCAGTACAGCACGTGGGATGCGTGGTGCGTAGGGCTTCGGGCGCGCTTCGAGCCGATCGCGGCTTCTATTTCGGCGCGTCAGAAACTGCGCACTTGGCGGCAGCTCGGATCGGTCCAAGACTATACGAGCGGTTTTCTCGCATTATGCGAGCAGGTCGGCTACATGCACGAAGCGGAGCGGGTGGACCGTTACGTCGGAGGGCTGAAGCCGGAAATCTCGCAGGAAATCATGCTACGCGGGCTCTCGAACTTCAACGAGATTCTCGCGCTCGCCGAGAAAATCGACATTTTGCGCCGACCGAGACCGGGGTCCTACTACGGACATCGTCCTCGGGGATCGATCGAGCACGCCACCGTACACGCCGTTGCGACGAATGCAGCTGCCGCGCCGTTTAAGGGGCGCTGCTTTGCTTGCAACAGGCCGGGCCATCGCAAGAGTGAGTGCCCAGAGGAGCTGAGGCGCCGCGGAGCAGAGCAGGGGAGGGAGTCTCAGAGACAGGGAAACGCCAGCAGTCAGTAGAAATTGGGCCAACTACTGACGAGACTGCCTGCTCGCCCAACCGCACCGACCCTCACCGAGTCACAGTACCGATTCACGCCATCGATCGGGCTCGGATGAATAAGGAGGGTACAGCGACGGATTGCCCAATACTGATCTACGGGAAAATACAGGGAGCAGCAGTGAAGATTTTTATCGACGGAGGAGCAAGCCATAGCTTAGTTAATACTGCAACCGCACGGAAACTGCAACTGACACTCAGCCGGTGCTTACCTGAGATAGACGCACGCTTAGTCGACGGCACGCCGCTGGCCATACGGGAAAAGGTGGAGAGGGTAAAAGTTCGCTGCGGGGGGAACTTCGGGTTTACACAGGAAATGCTCGCGACGACACTGGATGGGCACGATATTTTACTGGGACGTGATTGGCTGCGACGGTATAACCCGCGAATCGACTGGACGACAGGCAGCTGCACTGTGCGAAGTAGTGGTAACTGGGTCGAACTACCACGCTGGCAGTCGCCTGAGTCTTCAACGGTCCACGTCAACGCCATCACCATGAAACGGGCAGTCGCCGCTGGAGCTGACGTGTACGCAGTGGACATCGCAGTAGTGGGAGAAGCCGAGCAACCGAGCGATTTTCAAAAGCTGTTGGCAGCGGTACCGCCCGAACTACAGGAGCTGTTGAAACGGTACCCGGGGATATTTCCCGACGACTTACCAGCGGGACTGCCACCTCAGCGGGCGCACGATCATAGGATAGAACTAGAGCCGGGGGCACAGCCAACCGTACAGCGCCAGTTCAGACTGACACAACCGGAGCTCGACGAACTGAGGAAGCAGTTAGATTACCTGTTAGAGAAGCAGTTTATCCGACCGAGTTCGTCACCGTTCGCCGCACCGATACTGTTCACACCGAAAAAAGACGGAGGGTTTCGCATGTGCATCGATTACCGAGCGCTCAACAGGGTTACAGTTAAATCGCGATATCCCATCCCCCGCGCCGACGAACTGATCGACCAACTGCGAACAGCACGGGTTTTTTCGAAAATAGATCTACGGGGAGGTTACCACCAGATTCGGGTCGAACCATCGGACTGTGCCAAGACAGCTTTTAGGACTAGGTACGGGTCGTTCGAGTACACCGTAATGCCCTTCGGGCTGACCAACGCACCTGCGACATTTCAAATGACCATGAACGAGGCGTTTAGGCCGCTTTTAGATAAGTGCGTGATAGTCTACCTCGACGACATCCTCGTCTACAGTCGCGATAAGCAGCAGCATTTAGCGGACCTCGAAGCAGTGTTTAAGATTTTAGAGGAGCATAGGTTACTGACCAAGGGGTCTAAGTGCGAAATCTTTCGGGATAGGTTAGAGTTTCTGGGGCACGTAATTTCGGAGGCTGGGGTTGAGATTGACCCACGGAAGCTGGATACGGTCAAGGCATGGCACCCCCCGACCAACATCACCGAGCTGCAGAGTTTTTTGGGGTTTGTTAATTACGTCCGTCGGTTCGTCCCCGACATGGCCCGCTTAACAGCCCCACTGACGGATTTGCTGCGGAAGGGGGTCGCTTTTACGTGGGGGGAGAAAGAGCAAGCTGCCTTCTCTGCCCTGAAAACTGTTCTCTGTTCACCGCCCGTCCTGCGCATTGCCGACCCACACCGCCCATTCGAAGTAGTTACAGACGCGAGCGACATCGCCATTGAAGCAGTACTGCTACAGGATTTCGGCAACGGCCTACAGCCC